CTATCATAGTTGCTGCAGTAGTATATTGTCAGGATTTAAGTTTTTAGCCCGAGAGAAGAGTAAGTTGTAGCAAGTAAAAACAATACATAAATACTAACAGTCTTTTGTGCAGCCTCAGGGTAGTTGTGGTAAACTGCAGGTGCTCCTGACATCCTCATTTAGACCAAATTTGTATTTAAAAATCTCATTAATTACGGGATGCTTGGGGGGGCTCAGTTGGTTAAGCATCTGACTTTTGGTTTTGGCTCAGGTCATGATCTCAGGGTCATGGGATTGAGTCCCGTGTCGGGCTCCCTGCTCACTGTGGAGTCTGCTTGAAATTCTCTCCCTCTGCTCCTTTCCCCTGCTCGAGCACACGCACTCTCTCTTTCTAAAATTAAAACAAACAAAAAACCCCCCAAATAACAACTCATTAATCACCTTTCTTTAAATAAAAAAGACTCCATATATGCATTAAAGTTGAGGTCGTTTTCTTGTTATGTTTAGATCTTCCCAAGTTGATGAGCTTTAAATGAAAAAAAAAAAATGCTGAATTCAGTGACCTTGCTCCCACTGATGCTGAATTTAACCTTTGTAACCATGCTGCATGACATCACGTGGAGAAGGCAAATGCCTTTTTCCTCCAATGATTTTGCTAATAATACCCTTCATCTTATATGCAGATTTAATCAACACAGCTGGGATGTTATCTATATAAATCTTAGGAGCAAATAATATATTTTCTGTATAAACTACCACCCACTCCAACACATTTTACTCTGTGGTTTCTGTATTGCTGTGTTCTCTCAAAAATAATACCACTTTGTTGCTTATATAGTTTCCCCTGCTCTGTTCCTTCAAGAAGTTGTCTAGTTATTATCCTATACCTGCACCAGAGTATACACATTTATTTGCAGACAGGAAAACTTTGACAATCTTATTTGCCTTCAAGTTCATAGGAACATAGAATAGATCTTTTTGAGGTTGAATTTGATAGGGGTCATTACTATTAATTTCTTCTTCAGGAATATTAGCTCTAAATATATCATGCACCAGTACATAGACGTAAGTTTTGAGAGATAGATTGATCTGGGCATTATGATTGAAAAAAATTGAGAATTTTCCTTCACCTCTATTCTCTAGGGCCATGTCTGATTTGGGCTGCAACCATCCACTTTTATTAGGTGATGTCACTTTATTGACAAAACCATCTATAAGCCAGGACTAATTTTTTTCTTCCTGGGAAAATGGCATAAATCCATAGATGTATGTTGAGAGAGACAACTCAGCAGGGTAGAAGCCATGGAATCTGATCCACTTACCTCTGTAATTTATTTGTGCTTTCTGGACTTCCTCAAACCCAAGCTCATATATACTACTTTTGTCTGATGATGGAAGAGTTGCTGCGTATACTCAAATTTGTGGCTTAGAAAGCCAGACAATATCTAGGTCATAATTGGCGGTTCAAGTCACATGGTAACTTGGTGTCCCATGGTCAAGAGCTCAGTCATGAGCTAGAAGTTATTTCTTCAAAGGATAGTATAAATCCACAGAGGATGGCATAAATTTGCTCCAAAATCTTAAAAATCCTGTGTTGTGATTCACATATACAGACCTGTAAAAGCCTCCAAATACCATCCTTATCTTCCATAGACACTTTAAGCACCAGTGAATCTGCTGCTTCATAAAGACCAAGCAGCAGAGCAGTATGTAAACAGTACATGACCATCTTGGAATTTCCTCTTGCTCTTAAGTCACTCAAACTGGGCAGCTATTTTATTACTTTCCTAATGGATAACAGGTAGCATGTCCAAGTGAGGAATATGTTGCCATAAAAATCCAAAGAGGTCACTAAATATTGTGTTTCTTGCTTAGTGACAATATAACACTTGTTCTTCCATCACTGGACCCCTAGAAATTTCACTGAGGCGAGAGGCCCCTAAATTTTTGTAGGATTTAATTCCCATACTCTGTCACTCATGGGTCTCAGCAAGATGTTCAGAGTAGTTGCTAATTCCTGTTTCCTGGATCTAGTCACCATGTATTATCTATATAGTGGACTAACGTGATGTCCTTTGGAATGCAGAGTCAGCATCTCTGCAGACTTATTTGTGCCTGAGGGCTGAAGAATTAGCATATTTTTGAAGTGGGGTAGTTCAAGAGCATTACTGGTCCTGCCTGCTGAAAGCAAACTGATTCTGCTGTTCTCTATTTACAGGGATAGAGTAAAAAGTCTTTACCAGATCACAAGAAGGGCAAACCATATTCTAGAGGGTATGTACATTTGCTTCAGCAAAGAAACAATATCTGAAATAAAACCCACATTTGAAGTCACCACTGGATTAAATTTATGATTACTCATTTTCATTCCTCTGAATCTATCTACATTTTGTAGAGGCAAATTGAATAAAGATATGAAATCAAACCCCTGAAACTTTACAAACTTTAATGACAGTGTTGTGGCTTCAGTCATGTGTCCTCAACAAATATGTTGAAGTCTTAACCCCTAGTAACAGTGAATGTGACCTAATTTGGAAATAGAGTCTTTGTAGATGTTATCAAGTTAAGATGAGGTCATACTCAATTAGGGTAGACCTTAAATCCAATCACTGGTGTTCTTATAAGAAAGCCATATGAGGACACAGGGACACACAGGGTAAGATCAGATATCAATGGAGGCAGAAATTGGAGTGATGTGTCAAGTGATGTGACATGCCAAGACAAGGAAAACCAATGATTGCCAGCAACCATCAGAAGTTAGGAGGAGACAAGAAAGGATTCTCCTCTAGAGCCTTCAGAAAGAGCATGATCCCACAAACACTTTAATTTTGAATTTTTGGTCTTGAGAACTATGCGAGAATAAATTTCTGTTGCTTTAAGCTACCAAATGTATGGTGCTTTGTTACATCAACCTTGGGAAATTATTACAGGTAGCAATAATATACTTAATCTTCCCAGAAATAAACTATTGTTTTTGATCTACTATTTTGGTATGAAGGGGAAGGTCTAGCGGTTTTGTTCTTTTTTTTTTTTTTTTTACCATAATAGACTTCACTGCAGGGACTCAATGTGCAGATTCTGCCAGTTATAAATATATCTTTGCTAACAATGCATACTCACAGGGAGGATGCATGGATTTACTGAGCCCATTATGAGATAGACCTAAGCCAAAGCTCCATTAATCATTTGAGTGGACCATAAAGGTATTTTGGGACTCTAAAAAGTTAGTGTCACTTTAGAGCCAGAGTTGGGTAATCCCTGAAAATTCTGGTACTTTTCCCTTCCTCGGTGCACTGTCACTAAAATTGTCACTTTTCATTAGTCAATTGTTACTGTCACCAGTAAATTGTCATGGGTCCCTTAGAGGAAGGCTGAAGGGAAAACTTAAACAGCCTAATTTTGGGGCAATGTAGCAGGGACCTTCCTCAAGGGACCTACCTTCCATTCATTCAAGGACCTCTGAGTCTATGAACTGGCTTGAATGGAATTGATTAATTGGTTGATGTATAGTTTATTTTGCCTTTGGTCTTACATACTCCACTCATTTCCAAAGTTACTTAAGTCAGCAACATTTTTTCCCTACTCTCTTCAGTGAGAATATTTCATGTACTTGTAATACAGTTAGGTGATTTTGTTATATTCTGGATTCCATTCTGGAATCCTCTGTTCTAAAACACTTTAAAAAAAATTGCATAAGATTCACTGTTTGTGCTGTGAACCTATATGGATCTGGACAAATGAACAGTTTATGTATTTGCCAATACAATATCATGCAGAATAGTTTCTCTCCCTAAGAGAACCCCCTGTGATTTGCTCATCCTCTTCCTTCCCCTCCACTTGAAATCACTGATCTTTTTACCATGTGTCTTTTCCGAATGTTATAAAATTGGAATCATACAATATGTAGCCTTTTCACACATTGTTGTAATTGACTTGCTAACTCTTTTGGGAAGATTTTTTGTATCTAGGTTCATGAAATAAATTGCTTTTTATTTTATTTTATATTTTATTTTATTTTTAGAGAGAGAGAGCACATGTTGGGAGGCACAGAAGAAGAGGGAGAGAGGGAATCTTAAGCAGGCTCCATGCTTAGCATGGAGTCTGACCTGGGGCTCAATCTCACAACCCTGTGATCATGACCTGAGCTGAAATCAAGAGACAGATGCTTAATCAAATGAGCCATCCAGGTGCCCCAAGAAATTACTTTTTAATTTCCCTTTCTTAAAATATCTTTATCTGATTTAGGTATTAAGATAATGCTGGTATTTTAGAATAAGTTAGGAAGTGCTTCTTCTGCTTACATTTTTTGGAATATATTGTAGACAAGTGGTGTAATTTCTTTCTTAATTTTTTTGCTAGGTTTACCAGTAAAACATCTGGCATAGTGGTTTCTTTTATGAACGATTAATAATTCTTGACTCAATTTCTTTAAAAGATATAGGACTATTAAAATTATCTATTTCTCTTTGTGTGAGTTTTGGTAATTTGTGTCTTTCAAGGAATTAGTTTATCTCTTAGCATGGGCCTGTGGATATTTTGGAAGGACATTTGATTGTTCAAGGACAGGGACTGACTGTCCTTATAATCCCAAAAGAATAATTAAGTAGATGATTTAACTTTTCATATTGAAATGCTAAAGAATGTTTTTTAAAAAAGATTTTACATAGTTGAAGGCAAGAAATTTTCTAGTTTAATAGACATCGCTGAATTGTCACTTTCTAATTGGATATGTGTTTTCAATTCCCAATGTACTTTGATGGTCTATGAAAATTAATCAAAATCATATATGTGATTATAAAGGTACATTTCAAATACAGCCCAGGGAAATTGGCATTTCAGATTCTTGTATTAGGTTTAAGGAGAAAGCCAAAATTAGTGAGAAAAGTATGTAATTGTCATGTCTTTGCAAGAGACGTTGGAAATACAAAATTTACCTGCTTCTGATAAAAGTGAAAGAGCAGTGGTCCAGAATTTGCTTAGCCCTGGTTTCCAAAATGGTAACCACAAGTCTGTTCTTACAGATTCTCCCAGACACGAAGGACAGACAGCCCACCCTGCCTGTGGACACGACATGAGGGATAAGCCTTCCAATGTTTTTCTTGTTAACTGAAGAGGAGGAGCCATCCACATGCGAATCATTGAGCCGCACAACTTGAATGATGCTGCCCTGCTCTGGGGAGGCAGAAAAATCCAACAGCCGGAGGCATTTTGGAATATTTGAGAGAAAAAGGGGTTGTAGTTTTACTGACTGTGAAGCTTAACGTGATGAGGTATGGAGGGAAGCAGAAGTTGTGAATGAATGCCTGTGAAACCTGAAAAGAACGGATTTTACAATGGTTGCATGAAAAAGAGCAACAAAGGTAATGTAGTGACTTCAAATATACCCTCAAAGTCACACTGTAAATAAACACACAAGTGACAGCAATAAATGAATGTAAATGTCAGTAAACAGTATTACCAATGGGAAAGTTTATTAAAAAATAAACATAAAACTTTCTCACATGACAGCCACTTGGTTAAGATTTTAGCAAAAGGATAGCAATACTACCAATAAAAAAAACCTATCTTCTTCTTTTTTAAATGTTTATTTATCTTAGAGAGAGACAGAGGGAGAGAGAGAGCATGAACAGGGGAGGGGCAGAGGGAGAGAGAATCCTCAAGCAGACTCTGCATTGAGGGCGGAGCCAGACGTGGGGTTTGATCCCAGGACCCTGAGATTATGACCTGAAGTGAAGCCAAGTGATGCTTCGCTGACTGAGCCACCCAGGTGCCCCAATAAAAGAAACGATTTTTAACATGTAGGAGAGACCAGATGATTTTGGTCAATTGAGGTTGAGACGTGCTGAATCTAAATTATTTTTCCATGTATCTTAGCATATATTTGCCATTGGGTCATAATGGATTTATAAAGAACCCTGGAAGCAGAATCGATGAATCAAAGGAAGAGGAATCCAGGCTGAGCTACTCAGGAAGATCCTCACTATAACCCACAGGACCAGTATCTGCCCTATCCCCATCTGCCTGTCTTAGTCTGTTCAGGCAGCTATAACAAAGTATCATAGACTGGGAGCTTAAACAGCAAACATTTATTTCTCACAGTCTGAAGGCTGTGAAGTCCAGGATCAAGGTGTTGGCAGATTCGGTGTCTGGTGAAGAGCTGCTTCCTGGTTGATGATTGGCTGTCTTGTCATTGTGTCCTCACATGGAGGAAAGTGGTGAAGGAGCTGTCTGGGGTCTTTTTTATAAGGGGCACTAATCACCTGCCAAACACTCCACCTCCTAATATCATCACACTGGGAGTTATGATTTAAACATAGGAATTTGGGGGAGACACAAACATTTAATGTATAGCAACACTATGGATAACCACAGCCATGACCACTTCTGGCCACCAAATATATGCAGCCCTGATATGAAGGTAACTGTCATAGTAGCACATGGTCCCAGAGAAGAAGATCCATTCCAAGAGCAGGAACTGATGTTTCAGTCTGAATGTTACCATGTGCATTGGGCCTTTTATACACCCTTGGTTGTGTCTGAAAAAAACAAAGTCAGTATGTTTATCTCTCTTTTTTTTTTAGTAGGCTCCATGCCCAGTGCAGAGCCCAGTGTGGAGCTTAAACTCAGGACCCTGAGATCAAGACCTGAACTGAGATCAAGAGTTGGACGCTTGACTAACTGAGTCACCCGGGCACCCCTGTTTACCTCATATTTTAAGTTAAGTTTCTTTAGATCTATTTGGTGCTTGTTTCTTAAGGCAAAGATTTCTTACTGTGTAATGATTCACACAATCATGTTATTCTTTAACAAAAAATTAATATCCAATTTCCAAAAATGATTTTCATTCTAAATTTAATTACTTTGAAGTATAGGATCAATTTCATGTGATGATATAAAACATTGAAACCTGTTTTTCAAAGGTTTGACTTTGCTAATAATCATTTCCATAATCAGATACCCAGTTAGGGATAAAAGGGTATGTGGGTGCAAAGAATGGGGATGTTACCTCCAGCCACAAGTCTACAAATTCCCTGTTCTCTTTTCTTAGCAGAAAATAAAGTTGTTTTTTCCTCAAGGTAATCCTAGTTATTTGTGATTGACAGGCTGAATATATATTCCTAGCGTTACAAAGTCATCACTTAATTCATGTTCAATATTGTGACATTATTTTTGGATGAATTTGCTATTATAATAAAATTTAGGCTTTACATATAAATATGATTTTCTTATATATAGTGGTTTGTTTACTTCATCTGAATTATAATTTCTTATGGAGGGGCGCCTGGGTGGCTCAGTCGTTAGGCGTCTGCCTTCAGCTCAGGTCATGATCCCAGGGTCCTGGGATCGAGCTCCGCATCGGGCTCCCTGCTCATCAGAGAGCCTGCTTCTCCCTCTCCCTCTGCCTGCCACTCTGCCTACTTGTGCTCTCTCTCTCTCTGTCAAATAAATAAATAAAATCTTAAAAAAAAAATTTCTTATGGAGTAAAACAGAGGAAGTGCTTGAATTTCCTGTTATAGTGTATAAAACTCCACTGTCCTTGAGAAAATTCTGTGGAGGATTTAGACAAAAAATCGCAGTTTAGCTACTGGGCTCCTACACTAGTCCCTCCCTTGTTAGATTTCCACCAGTCCCTTGACTGTATGACCTGTCCACACAGAGTGTTCTTTTTAAAATGAGGGCCAGATCTTGATCTTGCTCAGCCTTCTTCTTGGATGGGAGGTCTTCATGCACACAGAGAGATATTCTTCCTTTTGGAAAGAACAAATCTTCACCCGGAGGCTCTCCAATGTTTTCACTGAATTGAATGTGTATGTCTAAAAGTTGCTATCCTCTTTACTGATACCAGTGAGGGAAGGAAGAGATGTCTCATAAAAAGAGAGATGCCCAGCGCTGTTTCCAATGGAGAGAAACCTAGATAGAAGACAGTGTGTATGCAATGTCACTCAAAGATTTTGTCACATATAAATGTGAAAATGAATTAGTAAAAGAAGGTTAAACATGTACTAAGAAGTAATTTTATTGTTTTTCCACTTTGAAGTTGTTTATACTGACATTTTCCTGTTTGTCTCTTGGTCAAGCCTCAGAGCCATCAGCATGTTCCTGCATCATTGCTCTATTTGTAGCCACAGGAACATCGTGTGAAGTACAAAGTGAGCCTCCACTTTCTACTGATGCTGCACCCAAGTTATCCCTAACACCAGCACAAATACCAGTTTACTGGGTTTAAGGGGAAGTTAGGGTTAGTAAAAAAAAAAAAATTACATGTGGAAAAAAAAAAGTTGAAACTACCCAATGTCAAAAGAAGAGGGAAGACCATGGTCCAGTTTGCTGAATCTTGGTGTGTTGGAATGAGAAAGTAAAAAGGAAACTTTTTCCCGAGTAGTTTTGGACAAGAATGTCAGGAGAGTGCACTAAATAAATATCCACAGTCATGGTAGACTATATGATATCTTTGGGGTGAGAAGCTTTTGATGAAGGAGAAACCAAGAAACTGTAGAAGAAAAAATTATGTTTACAACAGACACTGTAGTAAATGATGGAGTCCAATTGTGTGGTGTTGGCGGACAGCCAGACAGAAGCTGAAAGAGCCTGTTTTTTTTTTTTAATTTATTTTAAAAATTTTTATTAAGACAATTTTTTAGAGCACTTTAGGTTCACAGCTAAATTGAGGATAAGGTATAGAGATTTCTCATATATTGCCTGCCCCTATACATGCGGATTCTCCCCCACTACCAATATCTCCCATGAAAGTAGTGCATTTGTTATAAATGATGAATGTACATCAACACATCAAAATCACCCAAATCCATAGTTTTCATTACAGTTTACTCTTGGTATTGTACATTCTAAGAATTTGGACAAATGCGTAATGACATGTGTCCATCACTAGGGTATCAGAGAGAATGGTTTCACTGTCCTAAACATTTTCTGTGCTCCACTTATTTGTTCTTTTCTTGCCTCCAAATCCTAGCAACCACAGATCTCTTTACTGTCTCTGTGATTTTGCCTTTTCCATAATGTTGTGTAGTTGTATAATCATACAGTATTTTGCTTTTCAGATTGACTTTTTTAACTTACTAACATGCCTTTAAGATTACTCCATGTCTTTTTTTTTGGCTTGATAGCTTATTTCTTTTTAGCACTGAATAATATCTCATTGTCTGGATGTACTGCAGTTTATTTATCCATTCACCTTCTGAAGGGCATCCCAGTTGCTTTTAAGTTTAGGCAATTATGAATAAAGCTGTCATAAACATCCATGTGTAGGTTTTATTTATTTTTTTAATGTGTGTAAACACACACAAAATTTATGAAAATTTATGTGGGCATAAATTTTCAACTCCTTTTGTAAATGACAAGTAGTGTGATTGCTGTATCACGTGCTAGGAGTATGTTTAATTTTGTAAGAAACTGCCACACTTTCTTCCAAAGTGGTTGTACCATTTTGCATTCCCACCAGCAGTGACAGACATGCAAGGAGAAGGTGGCAGATTGTAAGCCGCAGAACAATACTCTTAGATTTTGTTTGCAGAACTCCAAGGAGTCTGAAAATTTCAGGCAAAACCTTGCCTTGAGAATCATTATGAAGTTTATCATGGTAGAATAATATTTCGATCATATCTAATATGATATTTTGCTGGTTGAAGCATTGGGCTCATATTTGGTCTGTAAGTTTGATATATTTAGATATGTAATATGTGGACCACCATTTGGACTCTTGCTCTGATCACTGCAAATTTTAATACAGAGCCTGGATAGAGACTTGTTTTTTGTTTTTGTTTTTCGGCAAAATCTAAAACTCAGGAGAGTACCAAAGGCAGTTTTTTTTTTTTTTTCTTCTTTTTCTCATCACTACCATCTCTGTCTGTCTGTTTCTGTTGCTCTGTTACTCTTTCTTTTTACCCCTGTGGTCGGTTAAACACACACAAACATGCAAAAATCATGAGAAAACATTGCAAGTGATGTGAAATAGTTTGTTGAGAAACAAAGATTCTTTTTCCCTCTATATCTCTTTAAACCAGAATTCATGTGGAGGTATGGTGAAAATGCAATATCAAAGCAAAAGCATCTTTTCAAAATACAAAATTTAAGTTACTCCAGATGAGTTTGATCAATGAAGATGTCATGTCAAACTATGAACTATGTTTTTCCTGGTAGCCAAAGAGGAGTTTACTCTGCACTAAAGATATAATAGAAATTCTAAGGTCATCCCTAGTGGCAGCAGCATGCGTCCAATGGGCTGAATAGTTCTAGAAGTTTCTCAGTAGAACCCACAGGACCAGTATGTGCCACAGCGGGATGGGCGGCAGCAGCCACATCCATACCCACCACAGTCACAGCCAGAGCCAGAGCCTAGACTATGACACTCGCTGTAGTAGCTCATGGTGTTAGGAGTGGAAGGTTCTGTTGAGGAGCAGGAAATTATTCTCAGTTTACATGCCATCATCTGCCCAGAGCCTTTTATACACAGTCAGTGGTGCATAGGGCAAACCACAGGCATTGCTGGGCTAATGATTTAGAATCACTTTTACTAGAAAAATCTACTGATTCTTTTGTTTACTTAGGAAGAGAGAGTTCCTAAGACATAATATTTGCTTTGCTATTCTATCAAGTGTCCTGTAATTAAGTCGTATGATTTAATAAGACATTTTTTGTTCTATTTTGAAAAGCAATTACTCTTGGGGCGCCTGGGTGGCTCAGTTGGTTGAGCGACTGCCTTCGGCCCAGGTCATGATCCCGGAGTCTCCGAATTGAGTCCCGCATCGGGGTCCCTGCTCGGCAGGGAGTCTGCTTCTCCCTCTGACCCTACCCCCTCTTGTGCTCTCTCTCTCAAATAAATAAAATAAAATCTTAAAAAAAAAAAAAAAAGAAAAGCAATTACTCTTAAAAACATGTGATTAATTTAAGGGAGACTATCAGTTTATTATTCACTCCCCACTCTCAAGTAAGAGATCTGGAAGCCCAGGGACTACATTTCCCAACATGCCTTACAAAATAAGATTCGGCCTCAAATTCCACGAATGAGAGACATTTGAGTGAGGTTTAGGAGCCATTCTAGGTCCTTCTGTTGTCAGAATAACCTTGATGAAAACATGCACTTTTAGAGGTTCCCCACCCCCTATTTTTATGGCCCATACTTACTCATATTTATTTACTTGAAATGATGTGTTCTGGTGACTTGGTGTGATGAGCATACAGTCTTTTCTCCAAGTTTTGGTTTGTTGGCTTATTTTTTTATTTTTTAGAGAGAGAGAGAACGTAGTGGGGGAGGAACACAGGGAGAAAGAGAATCTTTAGTAGGCTCCTTACTCAGTGCAGAGCCTCACAAGGGGCTCAATCCCACCCCTGAGACCATGACCTGAGCCAAAATCAAGAGTCTGACGCTTAACTGACTGAGCCACCCAGATGCCCCTGTTGTTTTATTTTCTGAAAATAACTTCAGTTTCTTGAAAGGCTGCTTAAGGACTTAGAGTTTACATATGTGGATTTGTGAATATGTGGAAAGGACAAGATAACTCAGCTGGACCAAAGTCAGCATTTCTGTTAGGGTGGAAATGCTGGATTTGAGGGAATGTGCATGTTTAGCATTTTTAGATGCTGCCAGTTTGCATAGGGGTTGTGTGTTTACATGCCTACCAGGAATG